CTTTATGATGAAAGCTCTGGAAAAACTAGGAATCTATGGAACCTTCCTCAATACAATAAAGGCTGAATATAATAAACCTACAGCCAGCATTGTACTAAATGGCCTTTAAGGTCATACCAAATCCATTTCCTTTAAACTCAAGAATGAGACAAGGATGTCCACATTCTCCACTCCTTTGAACCGAGTATTAGAGTGCCTAGATCATGGACCTCAGACAAGAAAGCTCAGGGATCGTGCCCATGTCCTGCAGCTGTGCCCAGCTCCTGAGGATTTGCATGTGCCCCCACACAGCCAACTGCCTGAACCCTTCTTCATGGTCTGCTCACACCCTGTGCATCCGTCAGTGCCAGTCAGCACACAGGATGAGTTATGGCTTCTGTGCAGCTCAAAGGATCCTGCTGCTTTGACCCAAAGATAAAGAAGGAGAACACTAGGAATTTATTGAGCCCAGGATTAACAGAGATGCCTCCCTCCCCATGGAAACTCCCAGAACATAATGAATTCTGTGGATATTTGGTGTCTGTTTTCAATATCAGGTGCCAGATGTGACATCCCCATTTCCCAGTGTCATCCTCTCTGTGTGCATATGTAGGAGACAGTCTCCATCACTTGCAGATCCAATCAGGGATTAGTGAAGATTCACAGTGGCATCATCAGAAACAACATGATGCTCCTAAACTCTTAATTTATTGGTCATCCATTTTACAGTCTGGGGTGACATCCATATTTAGTGGCAATGGATGGGGAAGAGAGTCTACTTTCACTACCAGCAACCTGCAGTTTGAAGATACTGCAACTTACTACTGTCAAATGAGTAATAAATAGTTCAACCCCCATGGTGATACAAGACCAAATATAAACCTCCCTGGGGGAGTGCAAATATGAGAGGCTGGGCTGTGCCAGCTGTTCTCCTGGTGCCTCTGCCTGCTGACAGTGCATCTCAGCCACAGCCAGGCTCTGAAAGTCACTGGGAGATTTGGTAAAGGGGGTCATTGACAACCCTCTCAATCTTGTCTGTGTGTCTTTCATCTGCCTCAGGAGAACCAACCAGACAATGCTTCCATTGTCTTATAAAAAAAAACACAAATCTGTCCTTCTGAGCCTCTAAAATATGGTATCCAGGTGGATATAATTTGCAGTTTGTCACACAAGAGGGCTTTGCCCGCCTTGTGCTCCCTTTACACTGCTGCACCCACCTGCTAATTTGCATAGAGCTCCCTAAGGAGGACTTTCCCTTTTGAGTCTGAGATGATTGCTCAGCTTGCCCTTGTCTTGTCCTATCAGGACTCTTAAAAGAGAATTCTTTTAGTAAGCTCCTGCGCTGCTAATGCTCTGGCTCACTGGTAAGGACAGAGGGAGATGAACAATGAAATCATGTAAATTGCAAGGAAATGAAAAGAACTAGATCATCATATTGAGTGACATAGGTCAGGAGGCAAAAGAAAAATACTGTTTGGTCTTACTTATTTGTGGAACCCAGACTTAAATGATGGTGGTGATGGTGATGATGGTATTGATAATAATAATAATAATAATATGAAACTTGAATGCCAAAATGGAAAATATCAGGTGAGGATGAAAGAAAGGGAAAAAGCACACTAAGTGTAGAAGATGAATTGGGCATATAAATAAATAGATATACATATATATATATATATATATACTCAAATGTGTATTCGAGTTATGAAGTTCCTTTACACAGTATGAAAAATGGTGGGAATGGTAGGTGAAGAGTACAGCAATAGAAAGAAGTTGGTGATTTTTTCAAAATAAGCTGCATTCAGGTAAGGATTCTCATCACAAACTAACCTCCTGTTGCTAATATATGACAATTACAATTTATCCAACAATAAAATAAGTAAAATTCCATGATTATGCATATAAAACTATTGGGAATCTGCACAACTATTAACAACGAAGGTAAAACTCCAAATAAAGATCTTGTCAGCTGCTATGTCATGAAAAGGCCACTAGATGGCAAACAAATCTCACAAAGAAAAACCTGAAACCTAACCTTGTCCATAGGAGCTTGAAGCCAGGGAGTTCCATCTCAGGCTTTCATGGCACACATGGCATGTAGGACCATGTTTACAGAGGGGATTGTGTCTCCCCACGTCCACTTTGTAAACCGTAAACAAACCTGACAAGGATGACACACAGTTTCTTGTAGTGAAGTCATTAAGGGCAGATCAGAATGGTGAGGGAAGGAGGGTGGACCCTGCAGATATGCAGCCCTGAAGGGAACATGTGCACACACCCTGTCCAGCTGTGGGAGGTGAGAGGGGGCTGCAGTGTCAGTGCTGTCCCCAGCAGTTCCTAAGAGTCCTCTGCAGTGATCAGGCCACTGATTGTCCTTAAAGGCACAGAGTGTCCTGAGTTTCATTATGTCAGGCTAGAAATATAACTGTTCATTGTTCCCTAGCATTCTTTTTCCATGTCAGAACTGAAAATGCTGAGTTAGATAATAAGAATTATATAAATTAATGTGTTAGTTTAATATGTAATTTATTAAATATGAACGATAGATATATAAATTCTACATTCATTTGTGAAGTGCTCCTCTCTGTTCTGAGAGAAATGGATTTTTTCCTTGAACCGAGTCCTCACTTAGGCTCATGGGCCAGACAATTAACATCTTTCTTACCTGGGTGCTCTTTCTTCTTCCAGGAAGATCCCCAGAAATATTTTCTTATGTCCTTGGACTTCATCTCTTTCTTTGGTTTTCAGCCTCATCTCTCAGACTGGTGGCTACAATTCTCACAACCCAGGGCAGGGTAAGACTACCTGCAGCTCTGATATAAGTCTAGTATTCCAACTCTTCCATGTATTTCAGGATCTGAAATCTGTGCAGATTTGAAATTCACAAGTGCCATGCCACATGTCCACACATGCTGAAGGCAGCCCTGGAGTGTGGATCTGGAGAATGTAATGTATAATTCCCAGGGCCTGGCTGATTTTAACCACACTCAAATGGATACTCTTGGGGTCTCTCTTCCTCATCCTATTATTATGGTCCCTTGAATTTACCAGATGGCCTTCACAACTACAGCAGCCAGCTGCCTGCTCCTGGTTTTCTTTAGTACCAGCTTTGTCCTGCAGTGCATGTAAGAGACACCAGATCCCTCCCAGCAAGGGCAGTAGGGGCTATTCATGGGACCATGTGATAAGATTAGAAGTGATATTTCAGAACAGTGAAGGGGTGGGCATAGCTTTTAGGGAAGCTTATAAATCATCATCAAAAGAGGGAAAAAGAGCATTGTAGAAGAATTATGTGAGCATGTGGTACAGAGAACATTAATTGTTTAATAGATGGAGGTCATCAAATCAAGACTAAGTTGGAGTTCTGGTAGTAAATGATATTGAAGAAAACACTGATTGAGTAATGAGTTACTCATGGTCTATTGGCTTTGAAAGAGCAGTGTTATCTTTACACATCATCTTCTTGAACTTACAGTGGAAAGTTCCACGTGATCACCCTGTTCTTCTAACTCTGGTATGACAATCTACACAATGGGATGAAGTATGTCCACATGATAATCTCTATGTGGGGACCTTCTTCACTTCACTTCGGCTTCACTGTCTGTGATTCCCCACGTTGAAGATGTTCTTTGCAAACTGGGTGGCTCCAGTTTCTCAACTGCTCACTTGACCACACATTGCAATTTATCATTTCTGTACCTATATGAATCACATCTCCTAAATACAACTTGTGAAAACTGCTTTATTGGTGGTCATATATATATAATACTAGCTACAGAGGAGGCTCAGATCTGATGATTAAGGTTGGAAGTCACCTTGGACATAAAAGACTATGAATCTCTGTCACCAGTTAAACACCAAAAGGTTAGAAGTGAAGCTGTGACTCATTTGGCAGACTATCACCCGTGAGCAGAAAAGCTAAGGGATTAAGTCAAGCCCCAGGCCTATTACACAAAAACTGCTTGACTTAGGATCTAAAAGACATGTAACTTGAAGGACTATGCAGCTTAAGAAGCATAATGAAGTTTAAGTAGAGTTGAGTCCTAGGTCTAGAGAACAATTCAGCTTCTGAGAAAGAAGAGTTTCCATTAATTGATGAAACAAAAGTCTTCCAAAAGTTCAGAAATATCTGGCACATACATGCATAATGCCCACAAAGCTAGATATGATTCCAGGTATTTTCCTAAAAATAAAGAAGAAATACCTGATGTGAACTGTTCCAGAGGGAGGCGATAGGGAAGAACATTCAGAAGGGAAGCAATCCAGTCATTTATATGAGTTCACAGGATGCCAATGAATGCACCAATGGATTGTCCATATACCTCTGATCATGACACTTTATTGCACCTATTATATTTTTTAGTGCTACCTTCCATTAAAAACTTTGAAAACTGTTCATTTCTCTCTTTCTATCAATGCATCTATGTGTCTTTCTACCTACACAGTTATTACACTTTTTTAACACACATGTCTTGGTAATAATTATCATTATTAAACCATATAACAAGGTTCAAGCAAACAACCTGAATACTCTTAGGAATTCTGTGTCACAAACTCCACTGATACCAGAGTTAGGGGCATTCTAAAATTAATTTCCCTTGAAAATGTTTGTCTTTGAGTGACTGGTTTAAGTGAACAAAATCATACCAATTCATGCATATGTTGAAAATGTTAAAAATTCTATTTGGGGTTGGGAATTGAGCTCAGTGGAAGAACACTTACCTGGAAAGGTTCAAGGCATTTAGTTCAGTCCTCAGATCTGGAAAAAAATCTATTCTTATCACAGGCCAACAGAATCATAATGTTTTCTTGTCTCTAGAAACACATTATTTACAAGCACTTTAGATATCTGGGTTCTTCAGGTGTGTGCTTTGTCACTGAGATCTTCCAGCCTGCAGCTCTGACTTGCACTGCCCAAACCATGTTGATTTGCATGTGCCCAGAGCACAGGCCACTACACTGGGAACTTCTTCATAGGCTGCTCACATTCTGTGCAGGAGAAGTTCCAGTCAGCACACAGCATGGACATGAGGGCTTCTGCTCAGCTCCTGGGGCTCCTGCTGCTCTGGGTTGCAAGTAAGGAAAGATGATACAGGGGATTATTCATCCAGTGTTCAGCTGAGCTGCCTGGCTGTTCATAGAAGTACCTGGACAGCACAATTAATTAAACTGCTAATGGCTTTTATGTTTCCAATGTCAGGTGCCAGATGTGACATCCAGTTGACCCAGCCACAATCCCTGCCATCATCTCTGGGCAACGGAGTCACCATTACTTGCAGAGCCAGTCAGGACATTAGTGAGAGTTTACATTGGTACCAGCAGAGAGCAGGGAAAGCTCCAAAGCTCCTGATTCGTTATGCAACTACTTTGCAATCTGGGTTTCCATTAAGGTTCAGTGGCAGTGGATCTGGGACAGGGTTCACTCTCGCCATCAGCAGCCTGCAGCCTGAAGATGTGGCAACTTATTTCTGTCAACAGAGTTATAACAATCCTCCCACAGGGATACAAGTCATAACAAAAACCTCCCAGCAAGGCAGAAGTAAGAGGCTGGGCTGTCCCAGCTGCTCCTCCTGGGGCCTCTACCTGCACAACTGCCTCTACTCTACACAACTTCTCAGATGCAGACAAACTTTAAGGTCACTGGAGAGAGAGAGGTCATGGAGGCTTTTGCACACCCTAACTCTCTGTCCTCCTGCTCATCCCAAGCAGCACACACCTTACAATGACTCTTCTGACATTAAAAATAAATGATCTATACTCATGTTTCACTTACATTGTGCTAACAATTTGTAGCCACAAAAAGAAAGAGCCATTTTAGGTATATCAAACCAAGTTTTTAAAAGCAATTCAAGAGAGCTTTAGAAAAGATTTTGTTTTTAGATTATAAAAAAATTCATCATCAAGTCTTGACACATAAAGCAGATTTCTTGATTAAAATGGAAAATTTCCAGTTTATTGAGAGATACATCCATGAGTTACCATATATATATATATGTATATATGCACAGATATGTATGTGAATATATACACATGCATATGTATTTATATATAATATCCAGTTGCAAAACACAAAATAGCAAATTTACCCAATCCCTGTTACAGCCATGGTCTGATTTGTAATATATTTCATTCAGCTGCCAAGGGCTCTGAGGATACCGAGCAGAGCATATCTTCTGAGACCCCACTCAGCTGAGCCTATAGCCCACAAAGCTCTCCCCTTGCAGGCCTGTGTTGGTCGGTCATAGGGCTTGTACTCTGGGCCTGAGCTTTGACCCTCAGCTCTTCAGTTCAAGGCGAGCGCTCTCCCACTTGAGCTACAATGCCACTTCCAGTTTTCTAGTGGTTGTAATTGGAGGTAAGAATCTCCAAGACTTTCTTTCCCAGGCTGGCTTTGAACTGTGATCCTCAGATCTCAGCCTCCTGAGTACCTAAGATTTTATGCATGACTCACTGGCACAAGGCTAAGAAGCAGTTTTCACTGAATTTCATGATGGTATATTTTGTGCAGTGGAAGGGAAAAAATATTTTGTTTAAATAGGGATACAGGTTGATCCATTGCAACAATGGACAAGATGCTTTGTGAAAAAATAAACTTTACAATTTAGGTGGGTGTGGGGAGAGGGATGTGGTAGGAGAGGGAGGAGTACAGTTGTGGAGATGGGAGGGAAGGGATAGTAGGAGAAAAACAGGAGGAGGCAACAAGGCTTGATAAGAAATGTACTCATTACCTTGTTTATATGATTGTAACCCCTCTGCACAGTATTTTCACAATAAAAAACTTATTTAAAAAAGAAGTTGTTTGGGGACAGTGAAAAGAAAAGATAAACAGAAATAGGAAAGGAACAAGAAGGAAGCCTTTATCAGTCAACTGACCTAAGCTCTGAATAATGTTTAACCTAGTTTTAGATACAGAAAATTCTAGATGCAGTAGTCTCATCTGCCACTACTCAGGTGAGGCCTGTCCTATCTGTAGAACAACAAGTAGTAGCTGGGCTCTGTTGGCTCACACCTGTAATCCTAGCTACTCAGGAAGCTGAGATCTGAGGTTTGAGGTTCAAAGCCATTCTGGGAAGGAAGAACGTAAGAGTCTTATCTCCAATAAACCACCAGAAAACTGGAAGTGGCACTGTAGCTCAAGTGGTAGAGCACTCTCTTTGAGCTGAAGAGCTGAGGGACAGTGCCCAGGCCAAGAGTTCAAGCCCGACAACCAAATAAACAGAAAAACAAAAAAAAAATAAAAACAAGCTGCAATTAAAAGAGTTTAAACATATGGTTTATAACAAGCAACTACTGTGAGAACAGATTCACTCCATGAGAGGAGATATAGCCCTTCTGATAACAGGACCCCAATGATCTAAACACTTCCCCCAAGGAGGCCCTTCAGATGACCATGTGGGGTCTTCTGGAGCATCAGCACCAACTTCCTTCTCCATGTGTTCCTTCTTACCATGTGATGTTCTGCCACATGACATAGCAGAATCCTTGGAGACAAGAAGTAGAGACTGAACTGTCTGTGACAAATAAGCAGAAACTGGTTAATTTAGATTGGGAATGGAGACGATAAAAGATTTTATGTTTATTTAAGATAACCAGAATTATATACCTATATTTATCTTTTCATAATTTAAAAAAGGGGGTTAAAAACATAACGGTATAGGACTGGAATACATCTTGATTACTTTCTCCCTTTACTCTCTAGAGGGAAGATTTAAGAAATTCTGTGAGCAATTTGTTGTGCAAATACAGTGTGAAAGATTAACAGAATAGTTAATGGATTTTAAAACTCATTACATTGAATATATAGTCACACTTTGAAGTAAAACTTTGTAACATTTTTCTTTTATCCTTTTTAATTTTATTTTCTTGTAAAGGTACTGTACAGAAGGGTAACAGTTACATAAACAGGGTAATGAGAACATTTCTTGTCAAATATTGTTACTCATTCCTTCATCTCCTACTATCCCTCCACCCAACCCACCCACCCCGAAGTTATAAAGTTCATTTCCAACATAGTGTCCTGTGATTATCACTGTTGCATTGGTCACCCTTTGTCTTTGTTTGACCATTTTATTATTCTCCTTCTCTTCTCAAGTCATATAAACATGTATAAAAGATGAATGGTACCAGAATATAAACATTGACTACAGGGGATAAGCCAAAGGGTATTTAAAAAAAGATATAATAAAAAGAAGGAACTTGATACCGTATAGAAACCACAACAAAGTCAACTAAAAAGTATTCTTGTTTCTATATCTTGGAGTTCATTTGGATTAGCATAATTTTATATGGTGATATGTACGTAGCTATTGACCTATTGTGATTGTCTGCAAGGACAATACTAGATATATACTAATTATTACAAATGAAGGAAACTATGGAGCCTATGTTTCTTTAGGTCTGCTTACTTCACTTAATATGGTTTATTCTAAGTATTTACATTTTCTTGCAAAGGAATTTCTAGGGTTCCTTTACCCTGGTGAAAACTTTCTAAATAAAGATCAAGAAACACAGCAAATCAAAAAATAGATGGATAAATGGTATCATATTTAGCTGCAGAGCTTCTACATGGCAAACGCCATAGCCAGTAAAATAAATAGAAAGCTCGCAGACTGGGAGAAGATATTCACTAGCTATACAACAGACAAGGCCTCATATCAAAAACATACCTAAAGCTCAATAAACACCCCTCCAAAAAGTCCTCAAAGAAATAACCAGACCATTAATAATTGGGCTAAAGAATTAAGAGTCTATTCTGGAGAGCAAATAAGAATGGCCAATAGACACCTGAAGAAATGTTCAACATCTCTGGTCATAAGAGAGATGCCATTCACAACCAAATTGAGATTCTACCTCACCCCAGTTACAATGGCTATTATTAAGAAAACAAATAATAATAGATGTTGGCAGGGATGAGGCCAGATACTACTCTGATGGTGGGAACATAATGTGATTCAACCATTATGGAAAGCAGGATGGAGGTTCCTCAAAAGATTAAACATTGAAATCATTACAATCCAGCAATCCCACTTCTGGGAATTTACTCAAGTGACCACAAACAAGGCCCATTAATGTTACCAGCACAACTGTATTACTTGCAGCACTATTCACTGTAGCTAAGATATGGAACCAAAACTGATGCTCCCCAATATATGAATGGATCAAGAAAATGTGATATATATATATAGATCTATATATGCATCTGTATACATCTATATCTATCTATCTGTCTATCTATCTATCTATCTATCTATCTATCTATCTATCTATCTATCTATCTATATACACTGGAATGATATGCTTCTGTCAGAAAGAGGGCATTGTCCTTTAATCTTACAAATAAATGCATTTAGATCACTACTAGTAGCAGAAAATTTTGTTCTTCCTATCAATTCTTTATGTTAAATTTCCTTTGGAAACAGAAGTTTTAACACTTGTAGCTGAGATTCCTGAACATATAACTTAGTAACTATGGGCATAAGATGCCACTTCATCTAGCTAAACTATTCATCTCCCTTGAGGATCCTTGCTGCTGCTGGTAAGTACAGTGTTTCTATCTAGACCTTCTGCATGAGTTTAAGGCAAGGAATTGTGCTCACTCCCTTCCTACAGACTCTCCTTGACATGAGCCTGCATGCTTTTGGTCTCTGATGATGTTTTAGGGTGTCAGAGCCATGTGCACCCTATCTTCCTTCTCAGTGGGGTCTTTCTTCCCAGTGCTGCAGGAATCAAGGATTTTATTGGTTGTAACCAAACACAGCATATTTGGTATCACTTTTCTCAGAAGAGCAGGCCTTACCTTCCCCTTGGCTCTTCCCACACTATTGCACCCACCAGGAGATTTGCATATTGGTCCCTAAGGAGGACCTTCCTTTCTGAGATCTGAACGTGCCTTGACCTGGCAAGACTACTCATTTAACTCTTAAAAATGAAGTCCTTCTATGGACTCCTGGAGCTGTTAATGCTCTGGATCCCTGGTGAGGGCAAAGGGAGATGAGGAACTAGAGTGGGTGGAAAGGTGGGCTCTAAGGGTCCATTTGTGCCCTATCTGTGTAGATACTATTATCCATGTTGGGAAAGTGATAGTTAGGTGTAAGAGAGTGAGGAACATTCCAGAAAAAACTGTGCTTGGGTGAAGGCTGCTAGATGAAAATACAGTCAGTGACTCCTAGAGACCTCTTTTTTATTTTAGAAATAACTCTATTTATAATTTTTTATATTTTAGATTATTAATCAATATGAAATACAAAAACAGGCAATATATATCAAAATACTAATAATATCAGGATGTCTATGTTTGTGGATAACCTTGCACTTCTGTCTTATTCTAATTTCAGGATCCAGTGGAGATGTTGTGAAGACCCAGTCTCCTGCCTGTCACACTGGGAGATACGGCCTCCATCTCCTGCAGGTCTAGTCAAAGCCTCCTGCGTAGCAATGGAAACACTTATCTGAATTGGGACCTGCAGAAGCCAGGCCGGTCTCCACAACTCCTGATATACACAGGTTCCAACTGATTTTCTGTGGTTCCCGACAGATTCACTGGCAGTGGGTCAAGCATAGATTTCACACTGACATCAGCAAGGTAGAGCCTGAGGATGTTGGAGTTTATCACTGCCTTCAAGAAACACATGAGCCTCCCACAGTGATACATCCCTGAACTAAAACTTCCTTTTAGGCTGTGTGAGCTATCCTTAGGGTTACTGGTCTGGGGAACAGCAGAGCAGATCATCTGAGTCTGTCTAGGAGGAAGATACCTATGAGTAACTATGAGTGCAGATGAGGTTTGAGTGACAATATGACTTCATTAAATCTACAATCACGGAACAGGAGAATAATCATAGTAGCACAGAGACCAGAAGACTTCAGATAAACCATGAAGCATTTATTGAAAAAAAATTCTTTGTGTCTTAAGTAATATTATAGCTAACAGGTAATATAAGAATGAAATGTCTTTTGTGATTTTATTCCCTTTATAATGAACTTGAAATACTTCCCTCAAGCACATGATCCTGGCTCACAACTATAGCAAATGCTGTGCTTTCTGTTCACCAGCTGGAGGTACAGTTGTGCATTTCTTGCCTCTGCTCTATGTGTTCCCCAAATGCTGCTTTACCTTCAAGCCCTTAGCAGAGTTTGGTCACTGTCCTTTGGTTAGATTAACTTTTCCCCAGTTACAGTACTGCATTCTGTACACTAGTCTCTCAACTTCTGTGCCCCAGACCCTGGGTCTATTTAAGACTGTCGAGTGTGAGTGTGATCAAGCCCTGTAACGGTGTCCATAGGTCCCAAAATTGGAAGACTAAGCCTTGCTCAATATGCACAGCATTCATAGCTCTATCTGGCCAGCCTTAGTGAATTGATTTGAAAAATCATGTCATGACAGCATCATTAATAGCTTAATTTTATTCTACATCCATCTCTATAATCCTTAATTTTAAACAATGACAATGTACTCCCTAGGATTTGGGTGATATTCTGTCTTATGCCAGCATCTAGTGTGCATCTGCATCAAATGGTGTAAAGTGTTTCACCATGATTTTCTCAAATCCATCTGGGTAACTAATGGTTGGAGTTTGAGATGCTCTGAGCTCCAGATTTTATCATTCATTGGCAAAATATATGACTAGAATGTATATTAACAAAAGGAATGCCTTTGATTCACTTATGAACAGTTATTGTAAAGTTTATCATCATTTGTAGCATTCTGTAGAATGCTAGTCAGAACTACCTCAATTCTTACCTCTCTCCTGGCAAGCATCTTACCCACATACAGAGAGGCAACCTTCTGATTTCTAATTCTCACTGAGTCTCCTCATTGTGTAAGTTTGTTTTACACACGATCATTTTTGAAAAACTGACTAATTTCATGTCAAATATGCACATAGAGAGATGAATTTTTATCAAAACTGACTACATAACTAAACTATTTACAAAAACTATAAAGAGAATACAGGGACAATATGAACATGTGAATCAATGAAGTAGAGTGAGATCTTCCAAGGAACCTTCTATCAGGAACAGTTAATTTGCAAGAGAACCACCAACATCAATAAATATCAGAGGAATTTAAAAAGGACTTAGATATAACATGTGAAAGTACTGATGATAAGAAGTTTACAACAATGTACACACTAACAGCAAATTGTATGTTTGTTCCTATAAACTTGTATAAAAAGCTCAGTTGCCGGCAGCCCTCAACTCTGACCTCTGCTCTCTCAGAGATGGATAGGACCACGTCATTCTACAGCTTTGAATCCTAAATAAGGCCCTCATTCACCATATGGATAGGGATCTAGAGTCGGAAGGGGTTCTGGAAAATGCACTTACTGCAGAGACTGTGTAATGAAGTTCAGAGCTGACTACCCAGTGTGGTCCTATGGCCCAACTCTCAGGATTTGATCAGGAGAGCATTGCCCAAGAACATTTCCATATTGCATCTAAGTGTCATCAGAAGGTTGCAATAAAAGCAACAAAGTTTCATAAAGTCACACATCAATGGAAATAAAGTTTTTATATTATATATATGAGTCTCTTTACAAACTAAATTCTTGCTTAACACAAGCAAAGCAAAATTCAACTAAATATGGAAATAATATTTTCTTTCTTATTCAGTTTTCCAGAATTCAACAATATCATCAACAACACTGAAAACATGGTGCAAATACAAAATTAGAAACCACTTGAGATCTACTGAATGTGAATCTGCATTTCAGCATGTTGGCAGGTGATCTTTATTAGGTTTAAGAAGCCCTGTTTAACCCAGGAGCTGGTGGCTCACAGCTGCCATTTCTAGCTTCTCAGGAGACTGAGGTCTGAGGATTTTGATTCAAAACCAGCCAAGGTAGGAAAGATATTAAGACACTAATCTCCACTTAACCACCAAAAATCTGGATGAAGAACTGTGACTGAAGGTGGCAAGGCACTAGCATTGAGCAAACAGAGTTTAAGGACACTGCCCACACCCTGAGTTCAAGCCTGAAGACTGGCACAAACAAGCAAACAGACAGAAATAAAAGAAAACCAGCTGTGTTTAGAGGATGAATATCTAGGTTGAGAGATTCTCTTTACTTCTCTTGTAGCCACTATTAAGAACATATCTAGTTAATCCAGATGTTAAATATACACATGTGCATATACACACATAAATGTGCACATATATATATATATATATATATATGTACATGCACGTGCATACACACATACACAGTCCATTTCCGGTTGCTATAAAAAAGTAAGTCACTTTCAATAGTTTGATGCATAGACTTATTCATTCAGAGAAGGATAATCAGTTTTTTCTTAGTTGACCTAAGTGAAAAAAATGCCACAAACCTTACAAACTATACTAAAAAAGAATAATATCTTTATGAAAAACTAAAATATTTACTTCAATTTGACACATTCATCATCATTTGTTGTCCTTTACAGAGATCATTGTACTGAATTCATCATTCAAAGCCAATGTAACTTTTACTCTTATCTCTTGTAATGTCATTAAGGCATCATGAAGAGCTAAATTTTCCAGAAGACATTTCAAACTTAGCTTTCTTTCTTTTTTTTTACTTTCTTTTTTATAATTTAATTTAATTTTATTTGTGAACATACTGTACAGAGGGGTTACAATTACATGGGCAGGATAATGTGTACATTTCTTACCAAGCATTGCAGCCTCCTCCTTTGTTTACCCTTCACATCCTTTCCCAGCCTCCCCCCTCCCCCCTCAA